GTCTAAAAGTTTGAAAAAAAATCCATGTTCTGCAGCAAGTTATTTTGCACAAGAATATTGAAAGTGGAGTATTTAGTTAGTGCGCTATGATAATAGATGTAATATTTAAACATCAGAATATTAACATAAACAATAGATTACAATCTAGTTTTAATTAATATTTGCATAAATATTAGAAAAAAAAAACTTAATAAAAAGCAAATGTACTACTGATCACAAATACTCTAAAGTTTGATAAAGTAGTTTAATTCGAAGTAGAATTTGGTTAATATAAAAATTCTCAGATATAATATTGTAAAAAAAGATAAGATAAATGTAATTGCTGTCTTTTGACAAATGCTTTATAGAAAAACAAGTTCATCATTTTTAATCCCAATTCCATTTTTACAACAGCGACCAACTTAACATATTCTTGATCAGATTCTATCCTAGCAAATTTTTGAAAATAAATAAATGCTTTATGTTCATCTTTCTTAATTTTGAACCCATAATATGCAATTATATTTGTTCTATAAGTATAGCCTATCTCAACAGATTTTTGAAAATGAATAGTTGTTTTATTTTCATCCCTTTCAACAGTAAATCTATCTCGATAACAAACACTAGCTTTAAACATTCTATTAGTACTTATCGTAATATATCGGCAATTATCCGATTTCTTATACCAAAACTCATTAGAGATAAGATTCTTAGTTATGAAGATCCAACACTGCACTTGCGAATTTCGGGCGATAGAAGAAATGTTAGAAAAAAAATAAAGCACGTGATGCTTACATTAGCAATTCTCAATAATCAAAAAAATCTAATGAAACCAGACAATCACTATACAATTACCTTATTTTCAGGAAAAGAAAATTATACTTTGCTTAAAATTGCTTTAGAACCAATTAATAATGAATTACAAGAATTGTGTAAAAATGTCTAATTCATGATTTAAAATTAACTATTGGTCATATCATTTTTATTAATTATACGGGTTTGTAGTAGGATCAGAAAAAAAGCTTTTTTCTATATTGAACTGTATTTTAATATATCTGAAAGAAGCTTGATGCCAACTAAAATCCTTAATTGTTTCTTGAATCCATTCTACTATAAATTTTGGTTGTATTGATGTATTTTTTTCTAAAATTATAGCAGAAGAGCTCTCTTTACCAATAGTGTCTTCCTTTTCTTCTTTTTTTTTTTTGCTGCTTTTTTGGCAATTAGAGCATCTAAAGCTTGAATCGAATTTTCATTAGTTGTTTGGATAAACAGCACAACATAAAAAACCTGGTTGCACTTATAATATTGTACCCCCCACATTGATCGGTTAATAGTAAACTAATAGTTTGATATGCTTCAGACCCTGAAAAAATACACTTATATGCTCTTTTGTTAACAAACACACGTGTTAAATGCTGTTTAAAAAGGGTTTAATATTGGCCTTCTATACATGGAAATTTAATTACTTGCTTTCCAGTTTTTCAAAAAGCAAGAAGAAGTCATTTGTGAATAGCATGTACTAGCATTTCTTTCAATTCATTAAGAGCATTTTCCGTTAAAGTATAGTGTTGAGCAGATAGTATGTTGTAATTACTATGTTTGGCATTTTCATGCTGTGAGAGTCCTGCAGCAGATTTGTATCGTTTTTTTTGCAAATAGTACATTCAAAAGGTTTATTATATATTAATCGTGGCATTGAAAAGAGCTTGTAATTTGTAAAAAAAAAATATTGTTAGTATTTATAATATAAGTAAACTAATATTCTTGCTATAACCTCTTATTATTTTACTTACTCTATATGCAATCACACCATTGGTTTCCTGGGTGGAACCATTGGTTTGACGCTAAAGTTTAATATAAAATTCTAATTTTTAGTAACCAAAAATAACAATTTTGGGTACTAATCTGCAATGTTGATCAGTACTAATTATAATTTTAGGGTACAAATTTTGGGTCCAAATAAATATTTTGGCTGATATAGAATAGATCCTAAACTTAATCTAAACGAACTTTTAAGAATTTTAATACCGATAATTTTTGGTGGGTAGTATGATTTCCAAATTCTCATGTAACATGATCATCACAAAAAAAAATCAGTACGTATTTCATTACAGAAAGAGGTACACTAGAAGTTTTGCTTGTACTGAAAATTTAAGACTACATACACCACTTATTTATACTAGAGGAATCAGAAGTGCCCCTACCCACCCATATCAGAGAAGTAATTGAAGCCTCCACCTACCCACCTACTCAAAGAAAACAACACCAATGCCTACTACCATACCCAGTACAAAAAAAAAAAAAATTTCGTTTTTTTTTTTTTTCTTTTTAATATGCCGAAAATTCCTAAAATTTCAGAGACAGAAGAGGAATACCAGACAATCGTCGAATATCTCTGGTCAGGAACTGTGCTAGCTGATGTTCAAAAAAACTCTACCACAAAATCCAACTTCATCCGTCGTTGCAAGATTCTTGAAGTTGATGAGAATGATGTCCTTTATACTAAGCCAGTTGTAAAGAATGGTGTAATAAAGTTAGAAAAACGCCATATAATCCTTAAATATGACGTAGAAATGCGTACTCTAATATTGGAACATTTTCATAATCAGGCAAACTACCAGAAATACTATAAGACTTTCTCTGTGATTTCAGAACAGCATATTGAAATCACCCAGAAGGAAGTGAGAGTATATATGAATGAGTGTGCTGCCTGTAGTATAAATACCTCCATTAAAGAAAAAACAGATATAATCCCTATAGTATCGTTGGGACTATAGGAGCATGTTCAAATCAACCTAGTCGATTTCCGTGATTTCGCTGAAATGAATGATGATTTTTTGTAGTTGCTTATGTGCGTCTGTGTGTTTTTCAAGTTTCTTGTTGCAGTCCTAATGAAAAATAAAGAAGTATGCACGGTTGTGACATATCTTTTCAAAGATATTTTCAAGATTCTTGGACCCCTTGTGGTTCTTCAAAGCGACAACGGTAGAGAATTTATCACAAGAATAATCACGCAAATTTGTGGAGCTCTCAATATTACAGTTAGGCACAGTCAGCCTCGGCATCCGCAGTCGCAAGGTCAAATCGAGCGACTTAACCAAACTGTAGGTCGTGGTTTCACTAAGTTATTTTGGGACGAAAGTAACAAATTGCAAAGAAAAGACTGGATAAATATAATCGACACATTTGTCATATCATATAACTCAACGGTCCACACAGCCCATAGTCATACACCACATGAAGCAATTTTCGGATGGAAAATATATTGCGTCTATGACACTCCCGGCACAACTGGTTTGTTGATATTTGATCATTATCCTGTTATTGTTATACATCAAATTACAGAGTTTTATTAGGTTTGGGTTAGGGTTAGGGTTAGGGTAGATTCGATTTGACGCAGATCTTAATTTGATGTATGATATTACAAACTCAAATGGTTGCTAAAATAGGTTTTAGAATTATGCCACTAAACATCCAGTTGTTTTTTTTTAAACAGGTGCTCCTGAGGATAATGATACAGAATTCGCCACTACTGAGACCACTTCTACCATCACTGAAATAATCACTGATGCTACTGCCAAAACTACTGCCTCTACTACTACTGAAACAACTACCCAGACCACTGATACTACCGCTACTGATGCTAGTGCCAAAACTGCTACCTCCACCACCACTAAAACAACCACCCAGACCACCGATGCCACTGTCAAAACTGCTGTATCTGAAACCACTACTGAAACTGCTGCCTTTGAAACTACCACCACTGCCCAAACTGCTGCTGCTGTAGAACAACATGTTTTACGAATATTAGAAATTTGTGAATCTATAAATGCTTCCCTTGAAAAGTATCATGCAAGAATATATTTGCAAAATAGTATATATAGAAAAAAAAAGACTAACAACACAATTGAAGCTAGAACCTCAGTTGCTATTGCACCTGATCACAATATGAATCAGCAAACCCAGAAAAGAAAATTGCAATCAAATTTTTCTCAACGAGGTGTGTTCAAATCACTCACATCTAACAATCAAACCGCGATTGTTGAAATGGATAGCGAAGACGTTCAAGTTCCCGTAAAGCAAATTAAGGCTGTACGAAATAAATCATGAACAATATTGTGGGTTTTTTTTTTAAAAAAAAAAAAAAATGGTGCTTTTTTTTTAAAAAAAAAAGACATGTTTTTTTTTCTTTTTTTTTTTTAAAAAAAAGCAGATTTTTTTTTTTTAAAAAGGCAGGTTTTTTCTTTTTTTTCTTTTTTTTTTTTTTTTTTTTTTAAAAAAAATTATTTTTTTTTTTTTATTTTAAAAAGTTTTTTTTTTTT